CTCTTCCTTCTGATGGCTCCTCTTTGTCATTCTCTTCTGCACACTGGAAGAATCCATCAAATTTGTCCCCACACCATCATCTCTTTTTCCAGCATCTGCCCTGCCCTGCAGTGGAGATGTTGCAATGGCTATGGTTTCATCCTGTTGTCCTTTCATTTTAGCCTGTTGTCCCCTTAAGACTTTCTGATTCCAACTGAAAGGTGCAATTCACTGCATTTTCCTAAATATGTGGTTTTCTTCCCTGAAGTCTCTTTCAATCCTACACACTCCACTTCCAATGTCCTGTTCATCCTGCTTGATATTATTTCTTCTCTACAGAATCTTTCCACAGAATCTTTCCAGTTTCCTCAGACTGTTCGGACTTGGCATGTGCAAGCTGATGGACAGAGGTTTGCTCTCCTGTGTGGTAGCAGGTGCCCCCCACAGCTCTTGCCTTGCTGAATGGCATGCCCAGCTCCTGGTGACAGGACTGTCTTGAGCAGACTCGCCAGAGTACTTGTGCCCCAAAGCTCCTGGAGGATGTACTCCATGTGAGTGATGGCATTGTACTAAGCTCTTCAGTTACTGTGGGATGGCTAAGGTCCTGTGCTCCTCATGCCACCTGACACCTGGGACAGGCAGTACTGCATATGGAAGCCTGGGCAGGACGAGGATGCCCCGGGAACTGCCCATCTGCCTGTAAGGTAGGCTTCCCAGTGGCGGCACCACATGACCTGAATGATCTTGAAAGGACAAGCAAGACAGCTGTGGAGCTCATCACAAGGCATGGAAGCACTCTGAGGCCAGGCAGGGTCATCAGGGCAGGGCTGGCGGAGTGGACAGGTGACCAGTGACAGTGTGCTCCTATGCTAAGCCCTGGGGGCTTATTCTGGAGGCAATGGGAAGATGTGGCTTGGTGAAAGGCTTGGTGAAAGCCCTCTGGCGGCAAAGTGGGGAGGACGTGGAGGCCATCCCACCAGTTTGTTCTGGTCTCTCTGGCATGTCGGCCAGGTCTCCCTCCGTCGTGCTGCTCTCCTGCATCAACTGTGGTGTTTTACACACCTCACTGACTGGTCTGGCAAGGCGCACAGCAACCACAGTGGGATCCATGCTCACTGGACTCCACCTGCTCCCGATCCATCAAGAACCAGCCCAGGGAGACAGGTTGTCTCTTCTCAGACTCACTTGAGGCTGAAACGCCTCAGGAACAGGATACTGGCTCTTCACCCACGGGACTGCCCCCACCTTACGGCTCCTCAGCCTTACCCTGGTTGGGAGTGGGGGGGTGGAGGGAAGGACACAGGTGAACAGGGCTCTTGAGGTTGGAATGAATTTTTAAAGAGATGTTTGGGAAGAACAACTGACAAGTACCATGTGGTGTGCATGGGAGCGGAGTGGGGAGCCAGGTCAATGAGGTCTGACCCCAAGAGGATAAAAACCCAACACCGGAAACTGCACAAGACGAGTCAATCCTGTGAGGCCAGAGACTGAGCAGACTCCCTCTGAGCGGGGAGGAAACACTGCTGGGTGTTAACTATGGACCAGTGGCTCGACGGGGAGGCCACACAAGGTGCTATGCCATCCATGGGTACAGTTTTCCTGGCCAATGGCCCCTGACAATTACCGCACCCGCCCTACCGTGCTGGGGCCCGGAACCCGGTCTCTCCTCGAGCACTGGGAACACTTGGGCAAGCTCTTCTTCCAGAGAGCCCTGACGTAAGCCAAAAAGTGAACTTACTGAAGAACTCTGGCTCAGTGAACTTGGCAATGAAAATGAATGAGCCCTAAGGTGGATTAAAAAAAAGATAATTCAGTCCTTTATACAGCTTAACATGAATAAATAGACATTAACAAAGTGAGTTCCCCAAATGCCTTCATCACTGGTTTTTTTTGTTTATCACTGGGCTTTTTGAATAACTTTTTTCAAACCACAATTCTTTCAATTCATCAGTTTTGGTAACCCACGGAAACCCAGGGCATGAGTGGGGCCTTCACTGGGCACCACGGAAGCCTGTGAATTAGCTGCTGTTACTTTGAGGGAGGAAAGGGGAGTAAGGAGGAGGAAAGGGAGTAAGGAGGGAGGAAAGGGAGTGCTCTCATTTTACAGGTTCTTTGGCAAAGGGAAAGGAAAAAACGTTATTTTGCTAAGACTATTAGCATTTTGCTAGACACACTTTCATGAAGAATAATGAACTTATGACAAACCTGATTTTCCAAGGAGAAACATTTTTTTTCCAAGGAGAAACATTTTTTAAGTGGATGAAGTGAAAACACTCCTGGAATAGACCGTACTTGCTGGAAGAGTTTCGTTAAAGGCTGCAATTGGTGGCTAACCAATTTTACAAATGGTTGAAGTTTACATTAAAAAAATTCTGGTAGATTCTGATAAATCTGCAAGAAGTCTGATTTTGTAGGAATTTGCGATTTTTTTTTTCACATCAACTTTTTAAAAGGCTGTGAGAGGTAACAGAGCAACCCTAGAGAACAGCGGGCATGTCCTTTGAACAAGTTTAACAGATCTTACAGATGACCACTGCCTGGAGTTTGTTTGCCCTCTGGGATTTTGTTGTTGTTGTTGTTCAACTCCAGAGCCCAGCAGAAGGGCTGTTCCATCTGTTTCCGATGCCATCGGAGGAAGACATGCTGGCTCTGCTCCCAGGTGGCCCGGACTCTGTGGACTGGTCTGGGGGCAGCCAGGTCATGACTAGCATGCTTTTGCCTCCCGTACCCACGACGGTGTGGAAGTTTGGCAGACTAAGGGCACAGGAAAAATGAAACGTTTAAACTAGTAAATACCAAGGTATATATTCCTTTTAAAGACTGTATGTTCAAACTATTTTAGCTCCCGCAAATGCGCTGAACCAGCTCTCTACAAAGCTTTCTCATGAACTTCTGTCACACGACTGCTCTAGCAGGTGCCAAACCTGGCTTCATCTGCAATGGCAGAAATCACAAACAGCCCTCTGAGCCTGTCAGTGCTTGTAAATGATAGTAGATGAATCAGGGGGTCTTGTTAAGCAGAACCCAAGGTACTGCCCTGAGCCAGAGCTCTGCCAACACTCCAAATACAGTGAATGAAAACACAGATTAGGAGCAAGGGACGCAGACACGTTAGCACTCGACACTGGAGCCATACACTCGCCCCAGCTCCTTATGACTTCGAAGGGAGGTAATGTGCAGGTGGTGTGCTTGAGGGAAGGGGAGATGTGAGCCTTTCCTTCTGACAGGTCTATCCGGGAACTGCTTCCTCCTGAGCGCGCCCGAAAAACATGCTGCCGACCCATCAAATTCTAAGCAGCAGAGTTATGGGGACACAAGTGGACATTGGAGAAATCTTGGAGCTTCATGTCCCAAGGGCCTGCTCCACTCCCGTCTGGCTTAGTACACCCACCCTGGGAAGACAAGAAATCTATTCTCACCGGGCTGGTGGAACACATGATCCAGAACCTGAAGTGTTCCTTTGGTCTGAGTGGAGAGATCTCAAGAAACCAAAAAGGCCTGGAAGTCAGGGTTCTGCAGCCACTAAACGATGCCATGCTGCCCCCCCCCCCCGCCCCCGGCCAAGTAGGCAGCACAGCATCAGTTCTCTGCCTCGATGGGCCAGGCTGGGTGGTGTTCTTAACAAGATGGGGTAAAGGGCAGGGCCCTGAAGGATTTCCACTGGACAGAGAGGGATGATTCTGTCACGCAGAAAAGTCATTTTTGAAGAATTACTGGATCTCTGATCCAGAACAGGTGTCCCTTCCATTCCTTTACCTACAACACCCGTTATTTCCATTCACCCGTGGGTGCTGACGTCCCTTCTTCACCTCCATCTGCACCCCCAGCTGTGCAGCCTGGGAGTTGCCCCAACAGCTGTGAGGGGCGTCAGGACTCAGGTGTGTGGGCAGGCCAGCTGCTGGCTGCAGACCTACCGAGCAAAGGCCAGCCCTGGGTCCAGCTGACCAGGTTCCTGGGACACCGGCCAGAGTTCCAATTAAAAGTGTGTAAGTTACAGTGCCTCTCACAGGCTTTAGGAGGGGAGATTACTGTTGTCTTCTCACAGGCCCTGAGCCTCCAAGAGGCCAGTGTGCCATCGATGCAGCCCCACTCTTCCTGCTCCGTGCACCAGTGTGGCCCATCAATCAGCCCCCAACCCCCGCCCCAATCTAATGGGTACAATTCCTGATTACAAATGGGAAGCACAGCATATATTCCTTCCCTGCCGATCTCCAGGAAGACTGACCTCATAATCAGACTGTATTATAAATTAAGAACAACAATCCAGACTGGGCAGATGGAAGACGGGGGAATCCAGAGGTCAAAGGAGGCTGTCAGTGAACTTGAGTGTGCCAGGCAGGCAGCAGGTGAAAACCATACAAGCATTTATTTTGCATTTGATTTCACTCGTCCAGATGTCTAAATGCTGGAGTAATCCATCTGCCTCCTTAGTGTTCTTACCCAACATGGGCCTGCTGGAATACGGACGGCTACGTGCTGCTGCTGCTTCTGATTCCCGGCCCCCAGACCGCCCAGAAGCACAGCAGTCTCAGAAAGCCACAGGTACTGTCTCAGTGACTTCACACACTGGTGGCTGATTGCTGAGGTACCCCTCCTGTCCCTCAGTACATGAGGCTCTGACTCTCTGGCATTGCCCACTGGCTCACAACCACAAGACTGCTGTGCAAACACCAAGTCCCTGGCCGGTCTGGGCTCCCACCAGTTTCCTCTGGGCAGCATGTGAGAAAGGGCTCCCTGCCTTTTTCCTTTCCTTTCTCTTTTTCAGTTATCATCCAGATCTAGCTTCCAAGGGTTCCAAGACTTCCTCATGCCATCTGGACCCAAAAGCAAGAGCTGATTTTTAAAAGCCAAATTCTTGTTTCATTTGGACAGAAGGAATAATGTGTCTTTCATATTTTCTTTGTATTTCTCTTCAATAGTTGCTTGACCCAACATCTTTCTGTCTGCTCTATACAATGAAAATACAAACTAAATGAGAATAGAAAAAAATAATTAAAGCATTAAATTGTACAAATTACAAATCTGTTCCAAAATATACTTACATTAAATAAAATACGCATTTCAGTAAGAGATCTACAGTGAATGACTATGCATTCTGGGAAGCTTCACAACATCTAGGCAGGGCCAACATCCGTGGGAGGAGCTAAGAGAATGTGCATCCAATCACAGTATGTAGCGGGTTTCTTATTTCCCCTCTGCGAGCTACACTGAGCACATCATCAGCATCACTTGTGCAGGGAAGGACTTTGGGAAAAGGGGGAGAAGCAAGCGCTAGCCTCAATTCTGAGTTCGTTACAACTTTTCAGGAATCTCATCAATAGCCTATACAGTACAGTTTCCAAAAAGTAAACATGTTAAGGGAAGCAGACAACTCTTTAGAACCCCAAACACATTTTCTTGCTGTATTTATGTGGGACTCTCCATCTACAATGGGCAGTCGTGAAGAGGTTCTTCCTCGGGACAGCATGGTCACAGGATGTGGATGACCCTGTGGGTCTGAGGGGAGCACGAGGACTGGGGAGGGGGAGCTCCCTCTTGGTTGAGGTTGGAGACAAGCCTACAACACACAGTCCACAGCCCCACTGTCTCCTCCTCCTATCATCTGGCATAACGCTTCATGTAGTCTTCCACTTTATTCCGGAAGTCCTCCTGTGGAGCGAGAGGGATCAGAGAGAGAAGGAAGAAGGGAGAGCGAGTTAGCGAGGGAAACACAGAACAGAACAAGTGGGACCCGCCCAAGTCAAGAAGCCACTGCAAGCTCTCCAGAGCATAGGAAGGACTTGGCCTCCAACCCCCACCCCACCTCCCGCCCCCCAGCCACCAAGGCTGCAGGATAATCAGAAGCCCAAGGAGCAGGATGCCCTCTCCCTAGGACTCCAGGGGCCTGCTATGTGCAGGAGGCTGTGCGCAGGCCATGGGGGCCACTGTGCTGGGAGGGCTGTGGGTGGGGACCCAAACACAGAAGCTCTGAGTGGAAGGCAGTCTAAGACCCTTTGTTTTGCAAATGGGGAAAGTGAGGGCCAGAGTATGGTCAAGGTGGCAGTGTAGGTCAAGACAAGGCTCTTGACCTCAAATGCAGATGAGTCAGAGTTGCTGTTCTCCGAGGACGCGTGCCCAGATCTGTCTTCCTAGAACCACCCCCCCAGACCCTGTTGCCTATTTAAAACATGCCCACTTTTCATGGTGTGAGTGAAGCCCACCATCCGAGTGACTACTGTGCCCAGAAGAGCAACCCCCACCCACCGCCAGGCATCAAGCAGAGGCCCCCTGCGCGCCTGGACTGATTCCCTGGTGAAGAGAGGACAGTGTGGCCCTTGGTGTCCCCAGGCCAGTATGGGCAGGAAAATGCCCAAGGTGTGCCCCTCAGGTCTAATGTTAAGACCAGAGTTCCTTGGCCTTGTAGGACTGAGCAAGGGCCCCCCGGGGCCACATGCGCCATGAGGGACTTGGAGCTTGCCCATCCCAGAACACATGCCTTCAGTGTTCAAGACACTGTGATCTGACAGGTGGAACTCAACCCTCTTACTCCCACAACACGGCTACTAGGTGTTGTAGGACGGCCATGGGGTCACACTGCTTCAGTCGCATCACATGACAGATAAGGCCACAGGCCACAGAGCCCCTGGTAGGCGCTGTGCTGGCTGCACCCTCTTGTGGCCAGTCCTTGCCTGGAGCGGCGTCTAAAAGGGGGCAGAACAAGGAGGAGGCCTCCTCTTCTGCCACACTTAATTCACATGGTGACCCATTCAAAGTCAGGGTGGGTTCCTGGTTTTAAGGTCTGAAAATGGTTTGGTGGCTTGTCTGCCATCTCAGGTGAGGAAATGGAGAGCTGCTGAGCCTGCACTTGTGGAAAGGACTCCCACAAGCCCTGACTTGGTCATTCCCACAGGACCCAGAAGCCAACAGCACCGTCAGCCGCTAGGGAGCCACAGTCACAGCTCGTGGGATGTGCAGACCGCACAGGCACTGCTCCCCCACCGTCCTGCCCTCAGGTGCTCAGTCTCACCCCCTCTGCTCTCTCCTGGTCCCGGACAAAGCCCAGAGCTCATGGCCTCCAGAAGCCCTCTGTGCTCAGCCTCTGCTGCTTTCCTCTCCTTCCTCTGCCTGAGGGCCCACAGAGCAGAGGCCACAGGAAGACTACAGACTCTGGAGCCAGACTGCCTGCATTCACATCTTGGGTTCTGCCCCTTCCTGGCAAGTCTGTTACCTCCATGGTGGCTCTGATTCCTCAGCAGATCAGGGATAACAAGAGTCCCTCCCCTGTGGAGATGTCAGGAGAATAAATGCTCTCTGGGATGTGGGTGGGATAGGGCTTGGGAGGGCCACCCGAGGAAGCTGCTGCTGTCAAATCACCGCCGTCCTGCCCCCCCAGCTCTAGTCACGCCAGTCTGTGTCCTCCTCCCTCAACACCCCTAGCACATTCCTACCTTAGGGCCCTTACACTACTGTAACATTCTCCAGAATACTCTGTCCTGATACCCATTTGGTTCACATCTGATCTCTACTCACATCTTGTCAGAAAGGCCTTCTCTGAGCACGCTACATAAAACAGCAAGACCCACCACTGTCCCCGGCCCCCAGGCCTCCATCCACCACATGCTTATGTTTCCTCATCTATGCTCTGCCTCTGCTAGCATGTCCGCTCTGGACAGGGACTGTCCGTTCATGAGTTGATCCTGAGCATCAGCCCCTCCCCTGGCATTTCAGTGGCCACCAATCCAACTTGGGGTGAACAATGAGCACAAAATAAAGCAGCAAGTTCAATAGCTGTCATCATGACTCAGCATGAGGATGGGGCTGGGGTCTGGGGACTCATGTGGAGGCATCACTGTCTGGAGGATTTTAGGTCCACCATACTGGGGCCAACAGTTCATAAATACAAGTCTTCCCCTTATTTCACACAAAGAGCAGGAAGCAACCTTTGAAGAAAATAAAATGATAGACCATTTATAACTGGTCTTTCTCCACCTGGCCCTGTAAGTGTTCCCATCATTATCGATTTCTCTTCCTGACTCGGCCTGTAAGACAGTGCTCAGCGGGGAAGTCCATGTCAGGGACAGTGACAGGTAGAGGTCCAATGTGAATGGAGCCACCTGAAAAGGTGCAGGGGTGCGGGGGGTAGCGGGCAGGAGCACACCTGCAAGGGCTTGTCATCGCAGTGGACAAACCAAGGCTTTGCCAGGCAGTGAGAGCCAGCACAGGCGGTATGGGGGACTGACTGCTGTGGGTGGGCGAGGCCATGAGAATGGCCGGAGGGGACGCCCATGCCCAGGGCCGCCTGATGCCATGGCACACCTGCTGAAGGCCTCTGCTGTTCCCAGCCTCCTCTGCCTGAGCAGAAGCACCCACTGACCCTGCACGGCTCACGGTTTCCCTGCTGTGCCTGCTGGTCTGGTGAGCCCCTGCCAGGGTACGTACCCAGCAGTGCGGCTCTGGCGGTGCCCGCTCTTCGGTAGTAGCAAACATCACACATGGCACATTTAAAATGCCCCCTGCTCTGGCCCGTCACAGGTCTCCCAGAGACAGAAGCCCCTGCTCTTCAGCACTGTATTTAGAACGAAGCTGACGGCATTTAGAACTTTCTAGACTCCAGGCAGGTGTTGGGTAACAGCCTCGGGTGGCTGATTCTAGGGTGGCAAGGATTCACAGGGAAGCCGGTTCAGAAAATTCAAATTCAGAAAAATTTGAGGCTCTAGGACTAAACCAGGTTAGCCCTGCAGGATTGTCTGCTGAGGCCTTACTGGCTAAAGAGCCTGGCCCCAAGTGAAGCTGCACAACCTCAAACAGCCTTGTTCCGATCCCACAGCCATTCCCAGACTCCTACTCCTGCTCCCAACTCCTCGTCCATGCACTTCTAAGGATGTGCACAAGAGGGATACTGACTGTATTATCATCTGTAGTTGGGAGAAAACCTGAGCGCCCACCACTCAGAGAATGGTTGAAAAATGTACGGTAGAGCCACTTTATGGACTATTAGCTCCTAGAATGGGTAAGGGTTTATGCACTGATTTGGAAGAAAAAAGTTTAAAAAAAAAAAGGAACTGATGATTAGTAATAATTAACAGGACCTCATTATTTTGGATGGAAATGCATTGGGCACCGCAGTGCATAGGCACGCTGGAGGACCCGACAGTGTGAACGCTGTATCCCCATACTGTCAATCCAGTGAAGTAACAGTGGCCTGTTTTAAATCCCTCAGACTGAATTCTACTAGGAAATCACATCTAATAGGAACACTTCTGTCTGACCTTGGGTCAAGCACTTTACTCACATTTATCACAACACATTACTTATCAATCAACTGCTTTCAATTCCAGGCATGGACCTACCATTCTCAGCCTCCTACTTATCTGAGCAAGAGCCGCTAATCATCTTTTTGGCAAATCCATCAACCTCGATCACTACCACTAGCTTACCTTGTCCCTCAAATGATGTTCTGCAGCCTCAATATTCAGTGGATCATCAAAATTCAAAAGATCCTTAAAAAGAGAGAAACCCAAAGTAAACAACGGAAAGAATCTGTTTTTCTGCTGTCACAAGTCTTCATTTTCTGAGCCAGATGACAGAAGTCTACTCAGTAAACAGGAGAAGCTGGAGAGTAGAGCGATCCCATTATGGATCCCAGGTCCTGTGATGGACGCCCACGGTCTACGAGGTGCTTTCTGAACGTCGGTGAACCGCTGACTGAAAGATCACGATGTTTATATACAACTGTCCAAAGTTTGGTGAAAATGAAGGATAGTGATCACATTGAGTTCTAAGGCTCTTTTTGATGTAAAGAACCACTTTCATTATGAGCATTTCCAAATAAAAGTCCCATTTTTTCCTCCAAAATTCATCTCTTCTTTTAATTTGTGACAAACATCTTTGCTTCTCTAAGTTTGTGGCTTCTACACTGACCTTAACCAGATCTTCCCTTTATCTTTTTATTCCCCTTCACAGCATGACACTCATACCCAACAGAGATGGGGTGTGGAGCCTGAAGGCAGGATAGTGCCAGGAGGACCCTGTCCCCAGGCATTTCTACGTTAGAAAACCCTGAGGTAGGGTTTGGAGCATGAGACTCTTGATCTCGGGGTTATGAGTTTGAGCCCCATGTTGGGTATAGAAAGTACTTAAAAAAAAATAAAATCTTAAGAAGAAAACCCTGGAATGGCTACTCCCCTCTCCCCATGAGAAACAACATGGATTTCAAATTGGAGGCCATGTTTTATCTTTATACTGCCTACTCCCCTTCTTAAAAACCAAGGTAGTGAGATTTGTTCTTATGAGAAGTCACTGCTTTCCAGAGTCGTCTGTAAAGACAACTGTACTTCTCCCTCAGGAGAAATGTTTAATTTGGGGGCTATATTTCTGATTTGGAAATAAATATGAGGTATGACCAATATGTTACAAATATAGCAAGGAAAACTCTTAAGTCTCTATGATCACTTGTAAAGTTGAACAATTAGACTTCAAGTCCTAGAAACAGGGAAAAATATAAAGCACATAGATGAGATGCCCAGGGCATATGAAAACCACCAGACACACCAAACTCTCCATCTTCCTTACCATGTATCTGACCTAAGATGAACATATTGGCTGGAACAACCACTACAGGCTTAATCAGCAATTTCGGTTGGCCCTCTAGAATGTAGAGCACTGGAGAGACAGGGACTGCGTCAGATTAAAGGCTCAATCAATGAAAAAGCAGTGTGACCTGCTGGGAAGATTTTAAATCCTCCTGCAGCCTTCATGGCTCTAGAAGTAAAACTGTGCACATTCATGAAAAAGCCAAACCAGGACCATAACAGAATGATAGCACTACCTTCCCCGGAGGTGAAGGGAGGGCAGAAGACAGAAGTGCTGGGCTTGCTGCTTCTGCTACAGGGATCACCTGGGACAACAGATGAGAAGGCAGAGGGAGGCAGGGCCCTGGGGGTCTAATTTTGAGGCTCTGCTGCTTTTTACTTTGCTGCTGGTAAGAGAAGAGCTCTGTGACCTAGGACAGCAGCCTGGCCCCAGATGCCAGTGTCGTGTCAGCACACCTGCCATGGGCCAGGAAGCTGCCCCTCCAATGACCCGCCCATTCTGAGGTCTGGACGGGGTGGGCTCGTTTTCATGGAGGGTCAAGTTTTATCAAAAGCAGCACAGCTTCTCGCCCCACCCCACAGACAGATCCCTGAGGCTCATTTCTTCTAAAGCTCTTTTATGATCAAAGAGCAATAACTCAAAAGAATAATATTAAATTAAAAAAAATCCAAAGAGCAGCTTTTAGCTTCTCCCTGACCCCCTCCTGCCCTCCAGCCCCTGCCTGTGATGGGCTGTTTTCTGCAGATAGCAAACTTCAGCAGCTCATCACTGAGGAGAGAATGGTTCTAAGGTTCTGGGTTTGTGAAAAGCCTAGAGGTCAGGTGACCACACTTCTTCACCCAAACCAGGACACCTGGGAGGGAAGAGGGCTGATGGCGAGGGCAGACATGGAGCGGGGTGGGCCCAGCGCCCACAGAGGAAGAGCCGCCCCCGTGAAGGAGGCCGTGGCCCCGGCCCTTCCCTCCCTGATGACCTCCCCAGGTGCCACCCCAAAGCCCCCTTGGTTCCCATCTCACTGTTCCTCTGTCTCCTACAAATCCTACAGAAAGAAGGAGTTCAGTGTCTACAGGGTGCTGTTTTTAATCTCTCCAGGTCATCCTTAGTGTGATGTTTAAAAGCAGTAGTCAGAGGACTCAAGAAAAACTTGGGATTCTGGTCAATATACTTACAGTAAACAAAGAGTTTAATCCCCAAACAACATCCTGGAATGAGAAAGAAAGAAGAAAACAAGTTTCAGGCTCCTGTGCACTTAGTGTTTCAAACCCTTGACCGAGAAATATAGACTGTGGTAGGTCAGAATTTATCTTTAGTGTGCTGTTTTTCCTAAAGACAGAAATTTAAAATAACTTGTCTCCAATATGACAACAGACTTGGGAAATCTGGAGGGGGCAGTCACAGGAAGTAATTACTGAATCAAAGTACCCTCGAGACCCAGCCCAGGGAGCCCACAGGCTGTGTCTGCTCAGGAGAACCTCCCCCTTCCATCACCTCCTCCTCCTCACCTTCCAGTACAGTGTGGGACTTCTGAAGAGTCATCTTTACAACAAAATCTGTTGTTTTTGTGCCCTCTTGGGGACTAGAGATAAGCTAATTACCCACAGTCCCACAGGCCTCTAACCATTTTGCTCTAATTACCTTAAAAAAAAAAAAGTGATAAACACTTCCTAACATTCAAAGGTCAGAAATTCTCATTAAAATAAGGTGGAAAACCAATGTGCTCTCTCTGGACTGACTTGTCATCTGTGATTCAACTGCAAATTCCCTCTCAGCCTTCCCTGTCACCAGCTCGAGTCTTGTCTTCTAAATCAGGCCAATTCTCAGCCCCAGCTGATACTCTGCTAGTTGGCAATTTTAATTGCCGCCTCTGCTTTGGCTCAGCCATCCACCCGTGTCCTTTTGGGGTGAGCTGAACCTGGGGCTGGAGCGGGGGGTGAGCACACATTCTCTGTCTGGTGGAGAGGTTGGACAGACAGGCATGTCAGCAGAACTCCCACAGATGTGTTCCCACAGAGGAGCCAGCAGGGAGGAGACACTTCCCAAAGGAAGCGGGGCCTGCCGGGTAGAAAAATGGCAGGAGGGAACACCTTCCAGGTGGAGGGACCCCTGTGCCAAAGCTAAGTCCCGAGTAGGCAGGACATGTCCGGGGTACGGCGAGAAGACAGGCCAGGCCCTGTGGCAGTAGAGACCACACCTGGGGAGGACCCAGAGTCAGGCCTGTAGGAAGTGTGCAGTGTCCTCTGAGGGCAGGCCCCAAACTCCTTCCCTGTGTTCTTCCCCCAAAGCGCCTACTTGGCGATACACAATAATACTGCCTACACACCAGAGTTGGCAGCTGTCGCCCACGAGGTGTGGTCATGGACAGAAAGAGACCTGGCCCAGGACTGAGGCAGTCACTGGTGGGCCACTGTGACCCATGCATACCTCTCCGGGCCTCAGTGTCCTTCTCTAAGAGCAGTGGAGCTGCCTGGGACCAGGGGTGGGAATGAAGATGGTCTCTCAGTGGTGAACCAGGAAGCTGGCATATATGGAATGAGGTCAGTGTATCCGCAGCAGCTCTGTTCAAAGGCAGGGCCTAAAGAGTTAAAGTATGAAGGACGCTGGGGAGAGAAAGCCCAGCACCTGTGTGCAGGGCAGGGCTCAGGCCTGTCTAGTTCCAATCAGGTTCCCCTGGGGGCCCAAAGGACAGTAACCAACGCAGCATCTGAAGTGCCAGCCACGCTTATGTTGTGTGTGTTTGGCGCAGAGTTCGCCTTACAAATAGTTTTAGCTGGGACGACTTTCGTAATCCATACGTGACTGGGCCTAAGTTAACACATGCGCAACAATGCTGCTCTTGAAAGAGAGAGATGGGGAGGGGGGAGACAGAGAGGAAGATGGCATCGTGCAACGTGTCAGGCAGTCTGTGAGTGCCAAAACATGCTACTCTGACACCCATAACCCTTTCAGGTTGACCTGGCACAACTGTCAGCCGCAGAGGAGGAGGACACAGTCACCAGGGAACACAGGCCGGGTGCGGATGACGACGCCTTCGTGCTGAGTCCCGGGCTAAAGAGACGCACAGGCTGGGAACCCAGTTGCCCTCTGAGCCCAGGAGCAGGAGGGCACTTTTTTGGGCAGCACGGATCTGGCACAAGAAGGGCCAAGGTTATGATGACTGCATGGATGGCTTCATTGGCCAGCAGAAACCATGGCCAGAGTCAGGCACTGTTCACTACAAAGTGAACACCAGCCAGAAGCCCTGGCTGCCTCTGACGAGAAGCTCAGGCAACAGGAGGAAACTGTAGGTTTCCTACAGATACCACGGCAGAGAAGCCCTAAGCTGAAGCCACAGTCGGTGGCCTCATGGAGCACCCACAGAGTGCATCCCCAGAACCAACCAGAGCCTACACCACAGAAGCAGCTGGGGCCACTTGTTCAGGCCCAGCAGCGGCCCTCTCCATCGCCCTCCCCTGGGTGGGGTCCTCCCTCAGGGCACTCTGGCCTCTGGGTTGCCACCAATCTGTCCAGGCTAGCTCAGGGGAACTCAGAGCAGATGGAGGCCACACCTGCCCTTTCCCTCCTCCCCCTCGCCCCACCCTGGCAGCTCTCATCTCCTCTGAGAGTGAGGCACCACACGAGACTGGGGGACAGAGAAGGGAAGAATAGAAAACACACACAGTAAAGGGCAGAGAGGAGAGATGGTAACTTGAACCCCCCAATGTCCCGAGACAAACTGGGGGCAGAGAACTGACCGAGGCAAGGGCTCGGCCAAGCAGCCCCAGGTGGGCAGGTGGGAGCAGGGTGTGCCCGGCCATCTGGGTGGATGGGACAGCGAGGAGACTGGTTCCTGGAGGGAGAGGCCTCCAGGCCGGGGCTGTGCTCAAGCGCACTGTACTCTACCTTTAATGTCCTTGTGGGAGCCCAGCCAGTGCCGTCAATCGAATGTTCTCTCAGTAAACTGAAACAGACAGAAATCACAGCAGTCAGCAGGTCAGTCAGCCTCCAGTCGCACGACTGCAGGTGTGCCAAGCCGCTGCTGCCAAGCCCGTGGGCCCGAGTCTCCTCTTCAGGACATCTGCTTTCCCCGGGCCCCACCTCTCTTCCGGTGCCCATCTCCCTGTACAAGGCCACCTCTACCCCCAAGTCTAATCTCTTGTGCCACGTTTATTGCTCATACACCCAGGTCTTTAATCCTGCATGCACATGAAGTTTTAAGCTGGAAGTAAGGATGCTTAAAATAATGTAAAAGAGCACTTCTCAACTTGATATTCAGAAAATGACAACTGATGCTTAGAGCTTCTTATGTGTTTCAGCACGATCCTAACCTCACCTAATGCCTCAACGACCCATGAGGGTGGTGCTGCCATCTCTCTAATGGAGGAAAGCAAACAAGGCACAAAGCAGCAAGGGCACAGGCCTGGGGGACAGTCCTTCAAACTCAGGCAGCTTCCCTGGAGCTGCGGGTGAACAAGAATGACAGCTCCTAGCACATGTTCTAATACTCTGTTTTTGTTTTTGTTTTTTTTAAGTTCAAAAGGGAAAAATGAAGGATAAAGGTAATTAGCAAAAAATTCTGGTTGTTCTTCCCCAGTGGGTGGGAGGACCGTGTTCAGGGAAGGTGCACATGCGTTTTGGAGGTACTGTGAGGTCCTGTTTCCTAAGCTGGACCCGAGGGTCATTTCCATCACTGTTCCATCAGCTGTACGTGCACATTACGTACTCTCACAGAAATGATTATTCCACATTTTGAAAAACTACAATTTACTGCCCAGTTTCCTTCTGGGAATAAATTAGTTTGGCACTGTCGAGCTGTATCTTGCTGCTGCTTTAATGTGTATGGAACCGTTCCTAAGCTCACACGGCAGTATCAGGCCCTCTGTGCCTTAGAGATGTTCTGGACCAGAGCGTGTTCAAGTTCACGTAAGTCAGTTAAAATCAGGAGAAAATATAACTGTGCTATAATCTTGATTGCCAGTGAAGTTCAGTTAGAATAAATAAAATCTTAAGTTGACCACTATCACTTATTTACAGACATCCCTCCCTGCCAAGGGGCAGGCCTTGTTGCCACGAAAGCTCTGCAGCTTCTGAGTAACTGTTCAGGAGCCACGTGCCAGGTCTAGCGGTCCATATGACCCAGTGAGAGGTCTCCTCACTGAGGCAGGGACAGGAGTCAGTTCTGATTGTCTTTGTCCTTTTGACATACCTTGTCACAATCCTTAGCCATCTACTGGCTCACTCGTTCAATGCCTGTCTCCCCAGCAGCCGGCAAGCCCCACAAAGCAAAGAATACCAACTGCCCCCACTGCGTCTGGGCATGACCACCATTAGCTGATGGTGGGGTGGTGGGGGGGGACAGCTTCACTGGCTGAGCAGGCAGTATCCTCTGACCTCTGTCAACAGCATAGCCAGAGCAGGAGGGCTCTGAACCTGGAAGCCAGCTGTGCCCACCCAGGGCGATAGCAGGTAAGGGGCAGATAAGATGCCCGTAATCAGGCAGGCTGTGCTCAAGTCTACAGGCCACAGGTCTGGGCAGAGTGACACTGTGGAGGGAACACACCATCACTGTGCAAGTTCCAGCCCAGCCTCAGCAGGCAGGAATCCTGCGGGAGCTCAGGTAACAGGCCCTCAGAGAGGGCACCAGGCAGGGGATCAGACAGTGCCTCAGGGGCTACACTGGAAGCACGGAGCCCAGGAGAAAAAGTCTCAAGTGCAACCACCAGGGTCCTGGCTCAGGGCCCTCGAATCCCATAGACACATCTGTCCCCGAGCCCAAAGCAGGCAAGGACCCCTGGTGGCAGGGCAAGCCTCACAAAGAGAGCTAATTGGCCCGTGTACTAGACAAGGCTTCACAGAGCGCTAGGCACTGGTCAGAGCCGCTGAGTGAGGAATCCAGGTAGATGCCACTGGGTGTCACTGTGGACCAGGAGGGGCTGACCCAGGCTCGTCTTTCTCTTTGTTCAGGAGATGCCACGAGTCAGTGTTACGTTAAGCCCCTGCTGGACACTGTCTAGTTTTTTCATAAATAATGACAAGGTCTTTGCATTTTAATCTGACACATTCTTTCCCACAAATAAACCCCTACAAGTGTAGCTGACAAATCCAAGGGTAAATACAAGTTAAATGTAGACCTTAAAGCTGAAGGACCAACAGAGGTATATCTCCTGTGATGAGAGAGAGCCCATTCTTCCCCTTTCTCTTCTCTCTCTCACAGCTCCCCACTCCCCTGGTCTGGGTATTTGCTTTTGCACCAGGGCAATGTGAGGAGTGGTGAGCGGCATCTTGTTTCCACAAGCCTCTCTCTGGCTACTGCTGAGACCGAACACCCCTCAGGTGCTTACCACCCACCCAAAACTCTCCTGTGAGTCGCTACTTGTAGTGGGTGCTTGCTTTTCCCAGTGGCTGTGTCTTTTATATCCTAATTGGCAAAGACCTTTACACATGAAGGATGTAACCCAGCTGGTCTTTTGTGTTTTGAATTTTAATGTGGCTAAATCTATCAGTGATCTTCCTTTAAGGTTTCTGGCCTTTGCTGCTGGCTACTGCCCGCTGAGTTCTCCTCCTACTTCCCTAACAACCTGATTTCTCAGAGAAAGCAAAAGTGACAAGAGAAATTCCTGCTCTGGTATTAACTCTGGTGGAGGGCAGGGTGTGACAGGGAGGTGGTGTGTAGTGGGCTCTCGGGAGAGCAAGCACCAGCGATGGCCTCGCGGGAGGAGGCTGGAGAGGATGCCATCTATGGCCTGAAGCTGGAGGAGTCAGATTTTGTAAGTGTGATACTTCAGGGACAGAAGGGGAAAAGGTGGCCTCTTGAAAGTGCATTTGTAACTGTCTATGGAAAAAGAGGCAGACAGGAGAACAGGGGCACTGCACACAAGCTGCATGGGGAGCCGGGTGCTAACTGCTTTTAAGAAGGAGAAGGGGGGCGCCTGGGTGGTACAGTCTGTTTAGCATCTGACTCTTGATTTTGGATCCGGTCGTGATCTCAGTCCTGGGATCAAGCCCCATGTAGGGCTTGACGCTTGGCAGGTAGGTTGCTTGTTGCTCTCCCTCTGCTCCTCTCCCAGCTTGCGTGTTCTCTCTCAAATAAATACATAACCCTTAAAAAAAGAAAAAAGAGGAGGGGGAGGAGAAAGAGGAGGAAAAAGAGGGGTCCAGCTTTGCCGGCACTACGGGCAGTGTGTAGCCCCCCATCACAGGCAGGGCTGGTGTTCCTGGGGTGGGGATGGACATGACAGGGCACCGACTTCGTCACAGGAGGAAAGTAGAACAAGGCACTAATGCGAATGTCGACTCTGCGTGGGGCTGAAGGTTATATAACCTGCCCAAGTCCCCCGCTGCTGGCGCTGCTGCTGCTGGCAGAGGCACCGGGTTCCAGCCCAGGCCGTCTGGCACCACAGCCTCACAGCCCCACTGCCGTCTTACTACATAAAGTGACGAGACACAGGAAGATAAAGCCCAAGGGCTAAGTTTACTTAAGAATGACAAACCACACACCTTCCCCAGTTCCCTAAATTAGTGGCCAGCAGCCTCAAGAAGCAGGAGTCGCAGATCCCTGATCATCTGCCACTGCAGTGGGGGTGGGGGGAACACAGAGGCCACAACCGACATGAAGCTCTGGGAGAGCTTTCCTGCTTTACGCACTTTAAGACAATTTCGGTAAGGAGAGGCCATCTTAAATACAAACACCCAGGTCTTAAACTTGCCATCTACATCCCCTATCCCCGGATTTTATAAATCCTTCTTTTCCTTCTTAGCTAAAATCAGCCATGTGGAGAAATTGCAGTATCTCATTACAACAGGAGGGGAAAAGGATAAGGAGCCCTAGGGGGAGCACCAGCAGGGGTCTTGGCCACCAGAGGGCCCAGGAGGATGTGGGTCTGGAGGTGGCGGCAGGCTGGGGGGTAGGGTGGGAATGGGAGATCTTCCAGTCACTGGAGTGCAGCCCAAAGGCCTGAGGACGGTTTGGGAAACCCTAATTGGGGCCCAGCCTCAAAATTTCCTCTCAGTGAGACTATGTGTTAGAAAGCCCAATGCTCACACACAGTGCTCACAAACACAGAAGATGGGAAAGAAGAGAAACCCACCTTAGACATATTTCGCCTGTCTCTGTGATGTTGGGGTGCCAGATCCTGGTCAGGCATTTCACTTTGGGAGGCTGCAACACAGAGAGAAAGAGATAACAGGCTCTCCAAATCATGCCTGCTGCCACAGACCCATCTAGCCCCTCATTCCACGGCTTACTTGGCACTCAGCTAGACTGGTCCCAACCAGCACTCAATTCTGGCCTCCTGCCCCCCAGTGCACTAGTGTCCTCACACTGCAACCACATGTGCTACTCTGCCCATACCCCTAACGTGACCCTTCTACAAGTCCCAGGGCTGGAAGGTGCGTGGTGCTGGTGGCGGGGCCTCGGCCTCCTCTGACCCTCTCTGCCAGGGCTGCAGAGGAGCCCGCGGTGCACTCCAGGCCCCATTCCCACCGAGAGCCCACAGATGCGATGTTGTGCGCTATGCTGCTGAGCTGTGGCTGAAGTTACTGCTCCTCATGGTGGTAGCTGGGTCCCTGCGCATGTGTTTCTGAAGATGCGACTGCCATGTACATTATCCTACCTCCAAGTCTAAGTCTGCTCTATGCTTATAGGAGGGAGAGAGAACGAAAGCAAGCACGTGGGAATGAGGCACATTGACATCGCTGATGACCAGGCATATATTTTTTTTTTTTAATGTTTCAAGATTTTATTTATTTGACAGAGAAAGACACAGCGAGAGAGGGAACACAAGCAGAGGGAGTGGGAGAGGGAGAAGCAGGCCACCTGCTGAGCAGGGAGCCCGATGTGGGGCTCCATCCCAGGACTCTGGGATCATGACCCGAGCCGAAGGCAGATGCTTAATGACTGAGCCACCCAGGGCCCCCCAGTTCCAGTATTTAGATGGCTTATAGATCATAAGTTTATATGATCTATAAGACCAGGCATATTTGAATAAAGGTGTTCTTTTAAAGTGACTCTATGATACAAGCAATCCATACTCATGTAAGACAAAAAGACAATGAAAACAAAAGGCAAGATCTCTCTTTGTCTTTCCTTTTGTTATGTATGATAATGCCACCCAGAAATAATCTAACACCCGGTATACATCTGTGAGCCTCTTTTCTAGGCGCTGCACAGAGATGCGTGTGTGCACATTCATTTTTCTTTATAGAAGGGGGGACATGGGCTCTCTATCTTTTCACATTCCTTTCTGTCACCATTTCAGATGGCATTGGGCTTTCTCGCCCTCCATGGTACTAGTTCTAGCATTTCACAAGCCAGTTCCTATTACTGGACATTTAGGCTGCCTCCCATCTCTACCACGGACTGCGCTAAATCACTGTGCTCATCTCTGTTCACATCTGTAGGAAAGGTCTGCCCGGGAGGAAGCCCAGGTAGAGGGACTGCTGGTCAGAGCACAAAGTGTCGTCTGGTCAAGTCTCACAGACACGTCATCTTGTAGACATTTATGTGTCAGCCCTTTGTCACGGGGGGCCATGCTTTCCATGTTTATCATTTGGTATTAATTTGCATTTGGGATGCTACTCTTTTGTAAAGTCTTTGTAATCAGATTTTTGCCTTTGTTACCACCCAAATACTCTCGGTACTTCTTCTAGTACTTGAATTGTTCCATCATCTTATTTGTACAAAACAGACATACTTTTCCGGCACTCCTGTAAGTTTTCCTACTGACTTTAAAACAGCATGACATCAAGAAACTCCCCCAGATAATTAATCCAAGTATGTAAATGTAGGTGTCCAAGGTTAGGATTTAGATTCAGAGTGAGTTTCAATCAATTTAATATGCTCTAACTTGGTTTCCTGCAAGTAAATGTGAGAGCATTTGACAGAAAGTATGCTAGTCGTCGTGCCACTTCCAGAAAGGCCTTCAGGCTGAGGGAAGGCCGGCATTGTGGGGCTGTATGAATCTAAGTGATAATACAGTTTCCATACTGGATAGACTGAACCACCAACTTGGCATTGGAGGGAACCTACAGGCTCTATCTCCCTCCCTTCTAGAGAGTCCATGACATATCTGTTACCCTGCCTAGTGTTGTTCACTAAATCTCCAAGTGTCTGGCTGTATTTGCCCCTCCCCTCCTTGTCCCTTCACATCGTCCATAGTTAAATGTTAGCAGAGACACCTCCCCTGCCAGCAGTCCTCCTAACTGCGGTCCCCAGACAAGAGAACAGATCAGAACTGTGGACCCACATTCTGACACACACTTTCCCAACAGATCTTCTAGACCGGGCCCCATCCCTAAAGCTAGACAAACAGGAAATACCCAGTTCCACCTCCTACTTGGCATTGCCACCTGCCCCATCACAGGCTGAGAACTTAATATGTGACAGCCACTGCACTGCAGACCAGCGGGGAAAAGGGATTCTTCAGGGCAAAACCAGCTAGCCATCTGCAAAAACATATCTAGACCCCCACTGAAGAGCTGTACTCTAGATCCAGTGAACACACCTGGTACAGAACCGTAAGAGCACTGAAGAGAATGCAGCTGAGTTACTCTGGGCTCTGGCATGGAAAAACTCGTGAAAAAAAAAAGCAGATTTTAATACAGTGGTGAAGCAAAACAAAACAATTCTCTCCCCACAAAAAACCCCCGAAGTTTTACAGAATAAAAACAATAAAAAACAAGGGAAAAAACAGAAAAATCTTTACAGTACAACTAAGCAAACTAGGTTTAGTATGTGCCACGGTGAGCGCTGTGAATTGTGTAAGGCTGATGACTCACAGACCTGTACCCCTGAAGCAAATAACACATTATGTGTTAACAAAAAAATAAAACTCTAGCTGAGAAATCTTATAAGGAAATACCTGTGGCCACAGTTTCTTAATTACCTACAAAGTACACATTACCTACAAGAGGAGAATGGAAGTTTAGTTCACTTTCAGTATCTCTGGATCCCCCTTACCCTCTCTGGAGCTGGTCATGGCCATGTCTCTTGATTTGGTTATGTTATCAAATATGTGTATGGGGGGGCACCTGGGTGGCTCAGTAGGCTGAGCGTCAGACTCTTGGTTTCGGCTCAGGTCATGACCTCGGGGTCCTGAGATCAAAGCCCCACATCAGGCTCCACACTCAGTATGGAGTCTGCTTGTCCCTTCTCCCTCTGCTCCTCCCCCTCCTCTCTCTCATTCTCTTTCTCTCATAAACAAATAAAATCTAAAAAAAAAAAAAAAAGTGTGTGGGACATAGCATATGTCCCTTCTAGAGGAAACTGGAGGCAAAGAATGAAAAGTCGTGTCCCCTTTTCCTGCTTCAGTGCATAGTCTACGAGACTGACCACGTCCAACCATGACTGACATGTCACGGGGGCACCGTAGGACGTGGGTGGGGACTGTGACACCACACTGGCTCATGACCATTTGTGCTGTCTCCCAGGAGACCAGGCTTCTTAAAAAGCTAGTGTCTGACAAAGAACCTTGCACATTTTAAAAGCTTATTTCATGTCACTAAATACTTTCAGCCAATATAGAGAGATCACAAGGAGGGCGTGAGACTGTGAGATAAAGTTCAGGGACAAAAGGACAAAGAACCAAAGGAAACTATGAACTTTAGCTGCTGGGGTGTGCGGGAATTTAGGGGGTAGGGAAACCAAATAGAATTTTCTTTCTTTTAAAAGTTTACTCTGAAATAATGACCTGTTTTACTGACTAGAAGTTTTTCAGAATGACAATCTTAATAAGTGACTTCAACTGAAGAAGCTGTAAGTGTCACAGGTTTTTAAAAAGTCCTTACCAAGCACAAACATCATATAAAGTCATGGAATAAAGGCAAATGAGCCAAGCCTGCTCCACGGAAGTCTCCTAGGCTGCCTACAAGCTGGCTGTATCCTCATCCAAATAAAACACAGGTGCCTGACATTTACTCTCACAAACTCTGCCCCAAATGCCTGTAACCCGTGTATCCTCAGATGCTGCTTTCGTCTTCCACACAGTATGTCTGTAGGGGCAGAGAGCGCCAACCGCTGGATAAATGTGAACCGTGTGCTCTCGCAGAGCCCTGGAGATACAGCGTAAGCCACTCCCACTCTAGTGGGCAGAGACACTACGGAGTGATATAAGCAAAGATTAACTACAAAACAAGTAATCCCAAATACCTGTCTCAGCTGGGGACTGCATCACAGGGTCTCCTGGGGATGGTGTCACCCCACTCCCTGCCCTGAGCTAGTGACAGTCGCCGGCCTGTTGGTAAGGCTGTACCCTGAGCCTGGACATGGAGGCAGAGAGGACATGCAGGGGCCGAGGGAGTGTAGAGCAGAAGAGGCCCTGCTGGCAGCAGGGCAGGGTCTGGGTCCACCCTGAGGGGCTGGCCTCTCAGGGCCCTTGGCTAGAGAACATGGGTTTCATTCCTGATGAAATCAAACCAGTCCATTATTCAGAAATTTCTCAAAGGAGAAAGAAACTAAATATAATGTAAAACCATCGTAAGTCACCAATTAATGTAAGAGACATGTCCTTGAGGCTCAGTGGTTTTCTATCCTGTGTATTCCGTATCCTACATCTCTGTTTCTTGAAGAGGCCACAAAGGGACAGGACAAGATGACAAACATTTTCTCACACCGAGTGGCCACTGGGTTTGTGGGAAGGGCACACATCCTGTGGCTGGGCAGCCTTGGACAAGAATCTGCTTTAGCAATGGAGCCTTTTATTCTGGCAAAGCTAACGAGGTATATCCTTAACTCTACCTCTCTGGGCCCCACAGGGGAAGTGAATGGGGGCACCTGGTACATAAAAGCTCAACAAAAATCGGTTCTCTTGTGTCTTCTCATGCTCTGCTCTCTTATGACACTGGGACTGAGAAGCTCAGCCACTAAATGAAACCTGATGTTCCTGAAACAGTGATCCTTAGACTGGCAGGCCTTGTCTGAAAAGTCCGCCAGCTCATGCTAAGCCCCTCCCCACGCCATCCTCCTCCTCAAACACTCACTGCCTCTCTGAAGAAAAGACTGTGTCACATACCACCCTTTAGCATTCCCCCGACAAGGAGTCCTTAGAAATGACAAATGTCCAGACAACTAAAAGGTCCAGATTTAGGTGCCATATGCCTGGCTATTTCCAGAAAACATCACTAGCCTCTGGAATTCTAAACATCTGTACTTCAACCAAACTTCTCCAACTGCATCTCACCTGGGGGGAGTCCAGTGTCCTGTCAAGCCAGACTCCTCAGTGTGTGATGAGTAAAACAGAGGAAGTCAGCAGGGAGATGGATGGACAAAGACCTGAGATGCACATTTTCCTGTCTTTGATTAAAAATTAATTTTTTTCTTCTTGCATTGCCAACTCTTTCCCATCCTCATAAACTACATTCAGAAAGAACTTTTAATGTAGTAGCCTAGTAAAGACCAATTCCTTAGATAAAGGTTTGGCTTCAAATAAAAAAGTGTGCCAGCCACTGAACTGTACCTCGGTGGTAGGGCCAGGGCCTGGGGCAGGAGGCCTAAATCCCACATGTGAGGTAGTAGGACAATCACTGCTGGCAAACTAACAGGGCACATGGGGTCCCCCGTACCCACAGGCTCAAATTAACAAGAGATATAATTTCACCATCAAATTTTTTTTCCCTATTTTATACACCTGGAGAGGTCTAGGAAACATTAGGGGGATGTTTACATATACATATACCTATACACACACACACACACACACACACACACACACACACACACAGAACTGTGGAGCTGTTCAGAACTGTCACTGGTTTCTCACTGCCAAAGTGAAAATGCCCCCAAATCCTCAAAACTGAGATTCTCGTTTGTCCTCACTTCTCCCCAAACCCGATTCTTCCTTCAAGTTGACCTGGTCAATCCACCACACACAGCTGCTCGTTCTCACTTCTGTACCTAACACGGCTCCAGAGATTTTGACATCACACAGACCACCCTCCCTTGGGTTAAAGGTCAACCCAAGTCAGGACAACTCCAGTCCTATTTTCCCTGAAAAACTCAACTGGCCAGACAACTTTGCCAAAGTGATCCTCTCCTTTCCTTCTCAGAATTCCCATGCATGTGTTTCCTGGCTCTGCTCCAGCTCTGTTATCTGCTACTTAGGGCTTTTATCATTTTATGGTCACTTTCTACATTTTTTCTCACCTTCCTAATTGTTAAGTTCCTTAAGAGCAAGGACAGAATGTGACAATACTTGGTGTAATTATTACCTAGGTGGGGTCTTTGAGAGATTAACATATAGCTCTGGGGGCGCATGGGTGGCTCAGTGGGTTAAGCCTCTGCCTTTGGCTCAGGTCATGATCCCAGGGTTCTGGGATCAAGTTCCGCATCGGGCTCTCTGCTCAGCAGGGAACCTGCTTCCCTTCCTCCCTCTCTGCCTGCTTCTCTGCCTACTTGTGATCTCTGTCAGTCAAATAAATAATAAAATCTTTAAAAAAATATAGCTCTGAGCATAAACTACTTATGGTTTAAAACTATGAGTCATTTCTCTTTTCTAAAATTCTAAAATACATGTTTCCTACACCCTGGGAATTTTGGTATTATACCATAAACAAAACTCCAGTTTTAAATAAAATGCTTTCTTTTTCAGTGCCAGAATTTAACAATTAAGACTGGTGCGAACCACACAGGCGGCTCACAGCGAAGGTGCCAGTCTCAGGACAGTCTCGGCTGCGCTGTGGCTCTGGTGTGCCCCGCCTGACACAGCACTCACAAGTGCTAATCGAAAAACGAATCTCTCTCCTAGGGCTCTGAATGCTGCTGATGAGCAACATTAGTCACAGAAATATCAGCTGTTTTGTACTCAGCTCTGGGACCGGGGATGGGGAGGGTGGGGGGTCAGGGACCCAATGCTGGGGGTGGGGTGGGGCGGGGCCCCTGAGGACCACCAGACCACGCCAAGGGGGAAGGACAGCTCAGACGCAGGCTACTCACCACCATGTTGTATGCATCAGGAACTTCAGTTTCAAACTGAAATTTTCCACCCTGGTAGTAACCCTCATCTATCAAAAACACAAAACAAAACAAAAAATCCTTTAAATTAAAAAAAAGGAAACAAAAAGCAAACACCGTGTTAGGATATGGCAAATACAGAGAATTAAGAGTTAAACAACAGGACTGCGGGATTCCTTGTTACTTCACCAAATCCTGCCCCTGCTCTAAAGACGAGCCCCAATCAGTGCCCTGCTGATCTCTGTCACCCACTAGCTGTGCCCCCTCAGAGGAGGCACAGGCACCCCCCTCCCCCAGGGACTGGTTCCTCTTCCTCAGTCTCCCAGGACCCATCCAAGGAACCCTGTTCTCACCTCAGTCCACCCAACTCTACATTCCAGCACCCATGGGCTCACGTCATGACAGGTAACCATCCTGTTTGAGCTGCAGGGTCGTCTGTTTGCTGCTGGTCGCCCTATGAGAATGTCAGTTCCAAGGGTACCCCAGGGCCGGGGGACAAGCAGCGAGGCATACGGACAGAATCCCTGCCTGAGAGAGAGTGCACAGGCGACACTTCCGGGCTGGCAGGCTGAGGGCTGGCTGCAGGTTTCTGAACAGGGCACACCCTCTGGAAGGGGGCTAATGGGCATGCAGGGGGATATCTGGAATCAGGGCAGCACTGGGTCAGACCCCAGGATACAGTCTCAACTCCCACAATGGTGTCAGCCACCTCCGAATCTCCTGTAGGCTCCACCCCGGGGTGAGCCGGGCCTGCGCGTGCATTGTAAATGCTGCTGGGGCGGCTGCTAGAAGAGGGCGCTCCACCACGAAGGTGCTCGAGCCTGAAAAAACTGCCCCCTCCCCGCTGCCCCACTGGGGCAAATTACTCTGAGCTCCACAACTTGATAAAATTCATACCATCTTTAAAATGAAAGTTCAACTTCCCCCCAAATATTTATCACTGTGAACAAATCAGCAATAGTACATTTCATTGCTTCCCTCAGCTATTTATGTAAAACGAACATTTAATAGGAAGTTGTTAGTTTCCAATAAATCATCACTAAAAAGTTTTTTGGGAATGCGTCAATATTTATGTTGTCCAGCAGGTAAAACTAACATTACCTGGACCCCAACATTTTCATTCTTTGCCAGTATGACAGAAGAGAAAGACTCTGTTTCATTTTACATTCATCTGAAGAAAAGTGGCGAGGCTGAAATTTATTTCATATTGAGTCCTTTTTTCATAAAAATGGAATGACTGATGTTCCATAAGTAGCCTTGTATTACTGAGGTACCCATGTTTCAATTACAATATAAAAAAGCTCTGAAGAAGATTAACCTTTGCCTTTTATATTTGTTATAATGTTTCTTAGTCTGCTGCTTGTCTTTTGGTTTTGTGGTTCAACTAGTTTTCACTTTTGAGAAGCTATTCTTTCTGTGGTTTCTGTCTTTGGTATTACCTTAAAAAGATCTTTCCCAACCAAGATCACAGAAACACTTGATCTCTGTTTTCTCTCAGTGATCCTGTGGTTTCACATGTTCCATCCGCTCATCCACTCATCTAGAACAAGGTGGTGTGTTTTTTCTCTTTGCCTGCCTAATCTATCACACAGCATTTATTGTTCTACCCTCCCCACTGATCTGATGCATCTACTTCTAGTGTTTCCAAGTGTACCTGGATTCGTGACTGACACTACCAAGTCTTTGGAAAAGACTCTGGGGAAAATTTTTACCTCCAGATACAAGAACTTTCCTAACAAGTGGCATCTCAGATATAAAATAATCAGAGGACACCCTTGCTCACCAGAGGTTCCATGTTGCACAGCGGTCACTGCAGAGTGGCCTAGCGCTGGGCTCTGTAAATGACACCAGAACCCCAGCTTCAGGTGCAGAGCTCCATCTGCTCTCCTCTCTTTTGCTCCCCAAGGCTGTGCCCCAGCCACTCCCATCCTGCCACACCACTGTGGTTTTTCTCTAGCTGGCTTTCCGTGCCACGATTATATAGTTTCAACTCTATCTACCAGTTTCAAAGAAAGTATTATTTGGTCTGATGGGGTTTTGGTTTTACCATATTCCTCTGTCCTAGTCAAGCTCTCGATTAGTAATTATTAGAATTATATAATCTCCGAACGCACTGAAAATCGAGAGCAAACAGTTCTAATTTTTGTTCTATTTCATGAACTATGCTTTCAGGAAAGATTATCAACTCCTGAGCCAGTACTTCATTTTTCCTCTTCTAAGGTATGTAGCTTTCCCAATCCACCCTGGTTATGAATTTGCCTAGAAATGCCATACTCCCACTTATGCTGAGAAACAGACCAGACTGAGAGGAGACTCAAGAGCATCTCTTGTTTCCTGTGATTTTTCTCGACAAAAGGCCCCAGGGAAGAGTTCCTGCAGATCCACCTTCCGGGTCTGGCTCCCAAGCTGGCACTTTGCAGGGCGGAGGCTGAGAATGGCCTACGTGGCTCTGGAGCCAGCGGGCAGAGGGGTCATTGAAAGCATCCGCAACCCAGTGTGGACCACATCCAAGTCTGGGACCGGCCCACTACGGCCAGGACTATCCATGGCTGCTGCGGCTGAAAACGTCCTTCTTCTCAGATAACTGGACCTTTAGGTACAACAATGAAATGCAGTAGGAAAGTCCTGGCATCCAGCTCTCACTGGGCTGGCCTATCCCTGCCACCCAGGGTTACAATGACAGGAATCCTCTTTCCCTCCTCTTGTATCCTGGAGCCCAACCCACTCCCTCCTGCCTTCCAAAAATCATATACACTATCTCTGAGCCAGGCGAGGGGTATTCCTGGGAGAAGACTGTCCAAGGCGTAGGTGGGTAAAGTCTCAGGATAGTCCACTTCTAGGTGGTCAGCGTCCAAGTGCATTCTCTCCTAAAATGACGCTGCCTGATAGTCTCAAGAGGGCAGAAGTCCTGCAGGCCTCCCCTTCCCTTTCCCTTCTCACAGCTGCTCCCACTTAGAGCAGAAGGCTGATGTCTCAGCTCTTCTCTTACCAGGACGTACTGCCCTCAAGGTCCAAACGTCCCAGAGGACAAAGGTCACAGGAAAGCCCTTTGAATGGAGGCACATGGCAGGGCTGTACTTATCCTACACCCAGTTCTGTTAAGGGCAAAATAGGGCGTTATAAATAAAATATCCCAGTTCATACTGGAATGCCTTAAATTCAGACACATGGTAGAGTTTGATGGCAGGGATGATTAGAATTTCACTTGGCACCTTCAATCCCTAGACTACTATCAAAGAACACATTATCCTCACGAGAAGCAAGCAAACAGGGAGCCAACAAGCCACAGGCACAGCATCTTCTTCCACCCCGGTGACTGGCTCCATGCCTCACCTAACTGCTAGGATTTAAACTCAGAAAAGAGGTGGCTGATGGTACATCTTAGAAATAAGTAAGACTTCTCCTGCGAGTGAGTCTGACTGATGACTGGGCTGACGATTAGAACTGGTTCTGCCCATTTATGCACTGGAGATAATTCTGATAAACTGAATGAGCTAATCTGCAGTTTCAAGCTTTTGAGAAAATATAAAGCATACATTCTTATATTGATAAAGGTATGACAAAATCAGTATCACAAAATTCTCAACTCTTGCTGAGAATTTCAGGTAAAATGACAGATGTTTCTAAGTGAAGACAGGTCTAATGGTCAGTTGACAGGTCTTGGGAAAGCGGTTTTGGTAAATGCCTCAGAAACTGTGATGCTAAGGGACTCTGACGACTGTGCTTGGAAAGCCTTCTCCAAGTCAGGTGGGTTCCAATTCTCTGCTTTCAACAAAATGTAAGGACCCTCCTCAGTAATCAACAAAAAGATCAACAAAATATCTTTTATGATATTTTTGGCCTCTAATTTTGAATTCCAAGGACGGAATGTCATAGCTATAACAAAACACCTTCCAGGCCTGTCTGAACAAGCAGTCCTCAGTGTCTACATCTACAGAAACAAAACAAAGAAAACTGATACTGAACCCTTTTTTCTAGCATAAAGTCATTCATTCACAAATACATCAACTAAACCAGAGAAACATGCTAATAACTCCATCATTCACAGATACATGAAATGCTATTTTATGTTTAATAACCATCAAAGCTTGCAACATATTATTTAAAGTCATTATTCATTCAACAATTATTTGATGAGTGCTTATGATGTGCCACACACTGGTGACATGCCCTTACAAAGCTTACATTCTAGTGGAAGAGAGACCAAAAAAATAAGGAAATCATATAATAGAAGGCGAAAGAGCTAAGGGAGTAGGAGCTGTGATTTTAAGTAGGGCGGTCAGAGAGCGCAAAGGCCTAAAGAAAGAAGGCCACTGGGGTGAAGAACACTCCAGGCGGGGGGTTGCAGGTGGGGGGGGAGCTGAGGCTCAAGAGGCCACTGTGAGAGTGCTGGCTTTTATGCAGAGGGAGACAGGGAGCCATGGGAGGGGTCTGAGCAGAGGAGGGACAGGCTGGAGGCCCTGTGAGGCTATTTGCTACCGTGACCCTGGTGAGACAATAAGCTGTTAGGACCAGGGTGGAAGCAGTGAAATGGGAATACTCTGATGGGAGACACACCAGCGTTTGCTGACAGATTAGGTGAGAGGTGGGGAACAAGGAGCCACAGAAGAGCTGAGCTCTCTGACCTTGCAATGCCAAGGGCAGGGTTGCCACCAGAAGATAAAAAGGCTATGAGGGGCACCCTACACCAAGTTCCACGTCAGACATGTGACTCTGAGGTTTCGTGTCAACACTCAAGCGGAGGTGTCCATCGGCAGCAGAAACATCATTCTGGAGAGTGTGGGAGGTTGGGGCTGATTGAGATTATCTGGGAGCTGTTCAGTAGACAGAAGCACTCAGATTTCATGAGTGGACTATGGAGGTCCAAGGACAGGACAGAGTCTGAAGGGCCCCCACCTGGAAGGGTGAGGAGAGGAGCCAGGAGGAGCAGCTGGCACCATTAGAGGAAGACCAGGAGCCAGGACTGGTGCAAACAATGACTAACAACCATTCAAAAGAAAATGCTTAAGGCCTAAGAGTCTTAAAGAAACTTTCAAAATAATTTTTAAAT